CATGGATATATAAAGGCAACCTCGATTCATTCCTGAGAGTGGACCAATAATATACAAGGCTGTTCTATATGGGAGAAAATTAACAATTCTCTTCTGGAATTTACGATGTTTAGGCTAATATTTCTTTGAATGGTACACATCATTACAATGTTGATACCAATACTGAATGTCTCAACAGATATGTAGCCAGAAAAAATGCATTTGAATGTTAACACAAGTGCAGATAACACTTTGGTGCCCTATAGTATGTAAATCTAAAGAATCTCATGTCTCAAAGTACTTTGAACCATTACCTATAACAAAGGCTGAGAACCATAACTTGGTAGTTGATAACAATAATACCACACACATTCTTGCACTCGTAACTACTTACAAGTGCCACAAGCTATGTGTGTCCAGTCTACATTCCTCAGTCTGAGCTTGAAGTACTTTACCTTGCTGCATGGCAAGGAGTGCCTTGCTAGTTTTGTGTCCTTAAGCTGCTCTTTCCAGAGCTTGCAGAATCATCCACTAGTGAAATCTACTGCATAGTGATTTTGCTATGGCTGAAATTGCTTCAACCCCCACTTGATGTCCTGGCTCTAAACATTCAATGAATGGACAAGATCTCACAGTATGGCTGGACAATTCCTAGCATTTTCTGCATTGTGAGTCCCAGCAATATCGTGTTACTAAATCTTACTCCTGCAATGCTGTTATCCAACGTGCTATCATCCTTTATATTTTTTCATGTTCATCAATTATTTCATAGATGCATGGTCTACTTCATTAATGAACTTTCTACCATACAAGTAGTTTTCATAGAGATTTAGGAAGTCTACAACTAAAAGCAGTTTTTAGTCCGTGCAGTATTTATATTGAGGAACTGTCATATGACTAACATACGTAATTACATGTTTAACTCTGTTTTGTAACTTTGATAACACCGCTCCATTTCCACTATCCCTAGCATCAGTGTCTAACAAGAACTCAAAGGCCTGTCATGGATATACCAACTTCTACTAAAATATGCTTCAGGGACTGGAATGCTGGCTCACATTCCTCCTTCCATCTGAAATGCGTGTAAACTTTGGCAACAGCCATTAATGGTGTGTCAGTCTTGGGAAAGTTATCCACAAACCATCAATAGTTCAATGCAAAACCTAGGAAATTGCAACTTTCTTGCTTGGTCACAGGTTGAAGCCAATCTCGCACCACTACTGTATTAGTAGGATCCATGGAAATTCCATCTCTACTTACAACATGACTGAGAAGTTCCACTTTTATGTGTATGAACAAAATGCAGAACATTACTTTCTGGGGATTGAGTACAGGTTTTGGAGTAGGAAGTGGTTATTGTCTAGGACTGAGCCACTGTATTTTGCTTTTACTATTCGCATAGAGAATCAATTTTTCATCACCGGTAACAATTATGTCCAGAAAGGGTTCACGGGCATTACGCGCCAGAAGAGACGAAGCAACGGAGAGTTCGTGAGGCACCCAAACACCTTCTTTATGGAGTTTTCCTATATTACTTAGATGTTTACGTATTGTTTCATAAGATACATACAATTTCAGGGCCATTTCACGAGTGTGTTTCCTTGAGTTAGACTCAACAAGCGTCTTCAGAGAATCAATATCAATTCCAACATATCGGCCCATGCCATCACAGTTTTTAAGACTAAAGTCACCTGAACAATCGTTGACACTTATGAACATTTCCATAAACGTATTTGATCTTCTTTGTGGCTACAGAGGCGTTAATTTCTTTTTTTGTATTCAAACAGCATTACATGTCGATTGTGTGTCTCGTCGTGTGCCATCACAAAAATGGATTAGAGTATACTAAATTTTACATATTATATAGGCTACACTAACGTGACGTTTAGGCGGTTCGTTTAACAATTATACTTGATGTACGTTTTTTTTTTTGCGACATTTATTTCTTGACGACCTAATACAAAGAGCGCTTTTATGTTAAAGTATTCTTTGATAAAAGCAACACATTGTTTTAAATACAACATGCTGTTTTAGATATTTTCACTCACAGAACTTTGACAATAATTCTTGCATAGTGAAAGTTTCTTAAATTTTTATGTAGGGGTTTGACGTGCATTTTATGTTCTGTCCCACCATCATGTCACAGTTAGTTTAGAAATACTCTTCACAACTATTATGCTGTAGGAATGTTAGCAGTAACTGCTTATGTATTTCACTCATATACAGAAAGGCTTTGGCAAGTGTCTTTAGAGTACAGCCAGCTTTGTTCATCCAAATTTGTTGCTATGGGGGTCATCTGAGGATTTGGAAAAATATTAGAGTTATGTGGATGTCTGAAGGCTCATTTTATGGGGATTAAAAACATCTTACAAACTGTCAGTGCAACCTTCCTTCCCCAAGAAAAAAACAAAAAACTGGATTTCAATTAGAACTGTTTTGATTTTGAACTATAGTTTGCATATAGTTTCAAAAGTATGGACTACTCTAGTAACAAAAGTTTAGTTTTAGGAATCAAATTTTAAAAATATAAGTAGTTTAATATTTTTTAAGAATGAAATTTAGAACATATAGCACAAACTCTGGATATTTTGGCTTGTAACTGGTGAAAACATCACCTGGATCTTTTCTGCATTCTAAATAGAAGACAGTATGTAAACAAAAACATAATTACATGTACATAAACTCTTTTACCCTAGTATTCAAAATTAATGCAGATCTTTTCATTTCAGTTGAGTTAACAAAGTGAAGGAAACCAAATATCCTTAAAGTACTACAGTATTAAACTTCAAATTTGTAAAATAGAAATCAGTAGTGTTTGCTGTTACTCATTAGTTTAACACAGGCTTCTTGGGAT